ATGCTGTAAGACTCACGATGAACGCGTTGATAAGAAAGGAAACAAGAAAACAAAGAGGAAATTAAAATCTATTTAATTCATTTTATGTTTTGTTCAAAGAAATTGGCGTCTTTATATGCTCATAAATATATCTAGATTCTGCTTTTTCATTTTGTACTTCTAGCTACATTCTGTCTGGTTAAGTTTCTCCTGCTTGGATGACCTCTTGGACGTTGAACATTTGATTTCAATACGAAACTGGACAAATCTCGATGGCTACAGAATTAGTCTGAGTAAACAGGATTCGTAACGACAACTCCTCTTTCATTTTCTTTTTCCTAGTTCATCTAAGTAATTTAAAACGCCTCTCTTTCTCTCTCTCTCTCTCACTCGTTGAATTGGTTTGGTTATTGTTTGGATCAGTAGCCGCTGGATTCCAGCGGACGAGAGATTGAACCAGAGGAGTTGTTCCAAGTTTCAAACACAACGAGCAGAGGAGCTGTATTAAGCACAGTTGAAGTGGATGGAGAGAATCAAGTACCGAGGTCCCTCTCTTCTAGATCTCAAGGTAAAAGATTATCTCTTCTGAAGAGTACAAGATTATGAAACAGTGCCGTTTTTCAAAAACTAGTTTTGATATTTTAAAAGTTTTAAGTCACATTTGTCATAACTGATGGATTCTTAATAACGGCAGGGGCTAAATTGATAGTTTTTGAACTTTTGAAGTTTAAGCTCCATTTGGAAGGAATACAAATACAAATTGATGTAGAGTGTAAAATCTTGTATTTTGTATTATTGTGTATGTATTTATGCTGTATATATTTGCATTTATACTGCTTTCAAAACTGAGCCTTAGATACTAAATTGAGACTATCCTTAAAATATAAGGTACTAATCTGGAATTAATTTGGCATTGCCCAATTGAAAATGTCACAAGGGTCCTTCAACTTATATATATATATATATAAAGGAAGGTCATCAGACAACAGCCCCCCACCATTCAGGCATGTGGCAACATCAATTTAGTGGAAAAAGTATATGAGAAGTGGGATGTTCAAATTTTCAAAGATAAAACCAATCCCTTAGACATGTGGCACTGTATAATAGGTTTCACACATTCATTAACAGTTCTTTACAAATACGTGAGAAGAGGGAAACTCTCATTCTCAATCCATTCCTAAAAAATGTAGAAGTTGCAAAAACGGTTATCCACAACCACTTCTGCTGCCTACATTCTATCAATCTCAATTAATCATTAACCTTTTGCATCGTATCATAAAAAAAAATAAAAAAAAACTATCCATATTCTAATCCAATCTCATAACAAACAAGAAAAATTATAGATGATGGTGATTAATTTATAGGCATGGTTCGCATGGAGGGAAAACGAAAACCCTTGGAGGCTTATAACAATAAAGAGGTATAAGCCAACCCAAGAAAAAGAGGGCATAGATCATGCCTACCAACCCAAGACCCTTGGAGCCTTATATTCACACCATACTGAATATAGTGAAGTTCCATGGTCCATGATCAAGACGAAGATCATGGTTACCAACCCAAGAAAAAAGGGCATAGATGTAGGGGAAAACAAATTTATTGTCCATGGTGGAGGCGGTAATAGTGGGAGATTAATGGTTATGATGGGTTTGGCTTGCTGTTATTCTTATGGTATTTGCAACGGCTATTATTTCATTGACAAGGTTTGATGGATACGAAGATGAAGGTGCTTCTGACTTAGCAGCTCTCTCTCTCTCTTTGTGTTATAAAACATGATACCATATTCAATTAAGATTACAATTTTTCAAAAAAAAGAAAAAAAAATACTTGGCTTCTCCCTTCCGTACAAGACTACAAGTCCAATCTATGGATGATGCATGTGCCCTTATTACATGATGTTTAAATATTGAGGATTAAAAGAAAATATTACTATGACAACCCATTATAATAAGTTAATTAATTATGTTAATAATTTAATAAAATAATAAAATTAATACTAATTAATGCAAATTTAAAAATCATAAAAGATATTAATTTTAACATTATTATTTAATAAAAATAATATTTAACAAGTTTTATTAAAATTAATAAATTTATAACAATTAATATCAATTTACAATGTTATTGAAAATGTATTTGACAAATATGACCCAAAATCAATGCTTCCATTGAACTTAATTCCCAACCCATTTCGGGCATTAAGTCAATGCTTCCGTTTGACAAATATTTAATAAATCAAGGCTTTAATTTATATAATGTTGACCCCAATTTTTAGATAAAAAACCCAAATATATATATATATATATATATATATATATATGGCATACGTGGATGCATTCAGCGTTGAGAGGATAGTTTCTCCACGTGCGGATTATGAAGTGAACGTGAACGTATGAGATAATCTGTTATTTTGTGTGTGACTCCTTTTCCAATGTGTGACTCCCAATTTTTGCACCCTCTCTCTCTCTCTCTTCTCTTTGTCTCTCCCACTCCCCCTCTCTCTCCTCCCCCTCATTCTCTTTGTTTCTTGGTCTTGCAAAGGGTTAGGGTTTCTATTTGTTCTATTCTATTTGTAGTTTGTGTTCTGTTCAGCAGAGCTTTGGGGGCTTATTCTTCGGTCTTCGGTTCTCTGGCCATAGGTTTCGCTTCAGTTTTGCTCGCTTGCACTAATGGCGGGTGGTTCTTGCCATCACTTGTGCAAGTTCAAAGGGCTGCTTGCAGACAATACAGTGAAACTCAGTGACAACATGGTTGTTGATAATCTCAATGGTCAACATGGACTCGACGGCAGCCTTTGACGCCAAGGGATGTTCACAGTGCCCTACCCTATTGATCTCAATTTGAGCCAACTGTTCGAGAAAACGGTCAAAGCTTGAACCCATCAAGAAATCCGACATGCTTACGGGCAGTAGATGGAGTCTTGAACCAGAGCCATCATCGTAGTAAAGCTCAAAGTTTCCCCTCTTTCCACGACCGCCTTCAGTGCCGCCATGCAGGCCTCGGTGGACAATAACGGGGTTAAAAGGTAAACAATCCACCAATGTTCCTTCAGCTGCAGTGGAACCCTAGATTCGTACTTTGAATGCCAGCACCTACCGGTTGCATGTGCAAATCAAGGGGGCTCGACGATTTCCCCAATAAATCCCTCATCGCAATCAGGGCAAACAATAGTTTCTCGAGTCAAAACCCTAACAAATCGATTGCGTCTGTAGCACTAGTACGAAGATCCAGCCAAATCCATCTATATAAGCAAACCTAGAAAAACCTTTTTCTGTAGATTAGGGAAGCATGAGAAAGAAATCTGATAACACATAACCCTATTTCTTTTACAACCCGTTCGATAAGTGAAGAAAAGCAAAACAAAGGGTTGTGCTCCACACAACCACTTCCTTGAAACACTGAACTTCGCCACTAAAATATTACATAGAGATTTGAGAAATCAAGCTATAGAAGTCTTTTAAGTTACCTCACTAATTTTCACAAGAGAAAAGAAAAATCCAAGATTTTCACATCGATGAACAAATTCAGGATATAAATGAAGAAAGAAACCATAAAATTCCTTGTGTATTTATGAGATTATGGGTTTAGCTCAGAGGTTTGATATCAAGAATTTTATAATGTGATTTTGTGTTATTTTATTTCACAAAATTTGACAAAATAACTTAAAATTTAGAGTCTACGATTACAGAAGAGTAGCACCCAATAACTTCAATTACCTGAAAACTTAGCAAGAAAATACTTTTTTCTTTCACAAGCCCCTGCAAGCAGGGACCCCTCTGCTAGTATATTCTAAAAAAGGTGGAAGTGGTTAACTCCACTCTCTAAAGAAGGGATAATTTTTAAACCATTCTGTTTTATTGCAGATAAGCAATTATAAATTTCACAATTGCATCCTAAAATGTTAAAGAAGGCATGTCTCACACTTTCATTTTCTGCCTTTACGTTTTGATAGTAGAAACTGAAAATCTAGAAATAGGTCATACAAATTAATTAATTAAATAAGAACCTAAATCATCAATTAAAAAGTAAACTCAATTTAACTTATCAAATTAATTAAATAAGAAACGTAAATAAAATTTTCCACATAAGTATTAGTGAATCTCAAACCAATAAAATGGCCTATTAGATAAAATGGTGTGAGACCCATTCTTTTAGATAAAATGGACTATTAATTACAAATAAAACTTGACTACGTACGGTTGTCAAACAAAACTCTCAAAGGTGTCTGTTCTATTTTTTTTGGTCTGAAATAGGTTGCCAATTATAAATTAAACGTTAAATAACAAATTTAAATTAGATATTCCAAGTAAATAGTAAATGTTAAACAAAATTATACCTTATGCTTATGCGGTGTGTCAAACAACATTTATCAAAATATAATAATAAAAAATTATCAAAATACTAACCATATTACGGGGTCATTCTCGAGTAAAATTTAGGAATTTTCTCCTTTTTATGAGATGCTATCCTTCCTCATAAAAATTATCTAAATTTTTTCTCTCTCTCTCAACCACACGTTTTCAATAATCTCATTTACTAAATTTTCTCCTAAACTATCTCCCCACTTTTTCCTAATTCATCTCCAATTTCTATATATCCCCTAACTTATCTCTAATTTACTAGAGAGTTTCTCTCTAAATTATCTCTAAATCCTATTTATCCTCTTACCCACTTTTATCTATAACTATCTAAATAAATTTTAATTAAAAAATTTAACAATTATTTAAATATTCTAACGGAATTATATAGTAACTATAAAATATTTATTAAAAACACAAAAATTAATTATAACAGATTTAATAATATTCATATTATTAATAATTTTATATTTTTACAAAATTTATCACGAAATTATGTACTAACAATATAAAATATTTACTGGACTATTCAAATTAAATGTTAATCAAATAATAGAAATTTAACATTTAACATTAAAAAAATAAAATATTATTTAAATATTTCAACAACTAAATATCATAAATCATAAAATACTAAAAATAGATAAATAATTATATAGAAAAATATTTAATATTCTGTAATAACTTTTAAATAAATAAATTCAAATAATATTTTTAATGTAGTTGCTCTTCTTCCATGGAGATCAAGCGTGGGCTTCACCAGACTGTCATACAACACCATCCTCGCCAAGTCATGGGGTCCCGTCCCTTCCATTTTCCCCTACTCAACATCGCTTGGAAGAAGCTTTGCTCCATCAACTTTTAGAGGATCAAGAGGGGAAATTGATTACTGATGGAAAACATGGACAGACCCAGTTATTGATCCTTCTCTTGTTCCAATCTTCGCCCAGATTTCTATCCTAAAGGTAAACAAACGATGCCAAACCACCCAAGACCCAGATTTATATCCACGAACTCGTCTCCCTTGGGGGCTACATTGAATTTGTCATCAATAACATATATTTTTCTGGCTTCGTCCTTTAGAGTTGCAATTTCTTTGTATTTTCTCTCAGTATCTTCATTTGGATTAGATTAGGGTTTCGTACGATATGTTGCCACTACAGTTCCAAATATGGAGATGCTAAGAATCAATAAATCTTCTACAGAAGTTAGCATGAACTTATTATGTTCTTCCGGACAGGTTGGAGCCGTCGACCCATTGACAGTTCTGGGTCATGGCGATCCAATTGTCAGCCATGATCGAGAGAGAGAGAGAAACACATTTTCTTTTATTATTGAACGGAATAGAACAAATTTCCTGAATAGTCGAGAGGGCAATTTTGTCCTATATGATATAAATACGAAGTGTGTGTTATGCCTTGAAAGCTGACATTCTGAGAGCAGCATTCCCTTTAATGATATTAAGGGTGAAAAGTCACCCTTATCGGCTAGAAAAAGCTCAGTTGGAAAGTTGATACAGGAGGTTCTGCAACTAGACGAAGAAAAACTAGTTAGTTTATAAAGGCTTATCTGCAGGTTGGTGAAGAAGGAAATGAAGCTGGGTTTGGAGGAAGTAGAGTGCCGTTTTGGCGTGTTAACATCCACATTCTTGTTTTAATCGCCCTAGGTTTGGATGTTATTTTTGAAAATTTCTGAACACTTCGGTCATCACTGATGCGATCGACTACTATGATCTTATAACGACTCTTCCGTGTGACTTAAGGTTCTTGGCCGGTGTAAGGCTGTTAGGCTTTTTTCCTCTTTAAAGTCAATAGTTTGGTCTTCAAGGAATCCGATTCATACTGTTGAATGGCATGGATCAGTTAGATTTTGTTCTGCAACCGTTCGTTGAGGTTTCAACCTTTGAATATTTAAAAACATTCCTTGACCCAACATAGTAGATACGTGATAAATATTCATTCCTTCCTCCATCCCTCCAGCCATGTCGGAGTAAGTAATTCAGGGAACAGGTATCGGCAAAACGGTTGTCTGCGTAGTAATCGATGTGCAGACACCAGACATGTCGCAGATTCAAAGACCGTATCTTTTCCTTCCTCTGCTTCTTCTGTTTCTCTTCTCCCTCCCATTGAAGCCCTCTACATCAACAACTACAGAAGCCCAAGCTCTGGTCAAGTGGAAGAATAGTTTAGCTTCCTCTGATGCTCTACGTTCTTGGTCCCTCACCAATATAAGAAGCTCCTGCAATTGGGTCGGCATCGTCTGCAACAAAGCCGGAAGCGTCACCCAGATAAACCTCCCCAGCTCTAGTCTCAACGGGACACTCGACCAACTCAGTTTCGCATCGTTACCCAATCTCACCAGTTTTGATCTCAGCGGTAACTCTCTCGATGGAACAATTCCCTCGGTCATTGCCAACCTCTCCAAGCTCACTTACTTGGACCTGGGCACCAATAATTTCGTTGGTTCCATCCCTCCAGAGATCGGAAGACTGTCGGAGCTCCTCTATCTCAACCTCTTCAACAATTCTCTCGAGGGTCCAATCCCATATAAGATCAGCAATCTCCAAAAGGTATGGTACCTAGACCTCGGGTCAAACTACTTAGAATCCCCTGACTCATCCAAGTTCTCTGCCATGCCCAACCTTACATATCTTAGTCTTTTCTACAACTCACTGAGTATGGACTTCCCGCCTTTCGTACTCAACTGCCGGAACCTGACTTACCTCGACTTATCGTCGAACAGCCTTTCGGGCCCGATACCAGAACTGTTGGCCACCAATCTGCAGAAGATTGAGTACCTTAATTTTACTAGTAATTTCTTTCAAGGGCCGTTGCCTGTGAACCTGAAGAAGCTTGGTCGGCTGAAAGAGCTACGTCTGGGAGAGAACAGGTTCACCGGTACAATACCCACTTGGATTGGTTCTATTTCTGGACTGCAAATTCTCGAATTACAAAGCAATTCACTGGTTGGGCAGATCCCTTCTTCACTGGGCCAACTCAGGATGCTTCAAAAACTGTATCTCGATGGTAACAGATTGAATTCGACTATTCCTTCCGAGCTCGGCCTTTGTACTAATCTCACCTTCCTAAGCCTTGGGGCGAACTTTCTCACCGGGTTCCTTCCTCCCTCCCTATCCAAACTGACCAAGATATCTGTACTGAATATCTCAGACAACTCGCTATATGGAGAGATTTACCCTTACTTCATTACAAACTGGACCCAATTGACCTCTTTGCAACTCCAGCACAATAGCTTTAGGGGAAAAATTCCTCCTGAGATCGGTAGATTGACAAATCTCACAGTCCTCTTCCTCTTGGATAATCACTTTTCAGGTCTGATACCTCCGGAGATTGGGAACCTGAAAGATTTGGTGCAACTAGACCTATCAAAGAACGCTCTCACAGGTCCTATACCTCGCACATTCGGAAATCTATCAAAGCTTGAGTTCTTGAACCTTTTCGGAAGCAACTTAAATGGGACAATTCCCCCTGAGATTGGAAACATGTCATCACTACAGATGCTTGATCTCAACTCGAATCAATTGCAAGGAGAGGTGCCAGACACCATATCTCGCCTTGAAAATCTTGAGATGCTCAACTTGGTTAACAACAACTTATCTGGTAGCTTTCCGAGAGAATTTGGACAGAGTAGTCCTTCTTTGAAACATGCCTACTTTTCCAACAATAGCTTTTCTGGTGAGTTACCGCCGGGGTTATGTAATGGCTTTTCCCTAGAACGTTTGACAATCCATACCAATCATTTCACAGGGCCATTGCCCGCCTGCTTGTGGAATTGTTCAAAACTGGTTAGAGTCAGGCTTGAAAAAAACCAGCTCACTGGGAACATATCAAAGGCTTTCGGAGTACACCCAGATCTTCTGTACATAGATCTCAGTGGTAACAGGTTTTCTGGTGAGCTCTCCCCAGAGTGGGGAGAGTGTGCAAATCTTACTTATTTTCACATTGATGGAAATAAAATTTCTGGTGAAATTCCAGCTGAGCTTGGGAAGTTAACCCAATTAGAGGATCTAAGCCTGTCTTCAAATGAACTGAGGGGACAAATTCCAACAGAATTAGGGAGTCTGAACAGGTTATTCAAGCTTAATTTGAGCAAAAATCACTTGACAGGAGTGATCCCTCGGAGCATTAGCAATTTAAATGGCCTACAAGTACTTGACTTGTCAGAAAATGTATTAAATGGAAATATACCTTCAGAGATTGGAAAGTGCACCAGCTTGATTAAGTTGAATTTGAGTAACAATGAGTTATTGGGTGAAATACCATCTGAGTTGGGGAATTTAAATGCTTTGCAGTCGTTTCTTGATCTAAGCCAAAATTCATTCTCAGGGTCCATTCCTTTGAACCTGGGGAAGCTGACTGCATTAGAGAATCTCAATCTATCCCATAACAACCTCTCTGGCACAATCCCTAAATTGTTTTCTGACATGTCTAGTATACAGCATATAGATTTCTCCTACAATGAATTGACTGGTCCTGTCCCAGATGGCAACATTTTCCTGAAGGCACCTGCTACAGCCTTCATTGGAAATCCAGGTCTGTGTGGAACTGCAAAAGGACTACTCCCTTGTGATACAAGTCCTCCTCGCAGTCATTCCAAGAAGCATAACAGACTCATTATTTCTATCATTGTCCCCATTGTCTGTGTTTTACTTTTGGGAGCTGTAATTACTGGAATTCTAATTCTAAGTAGGAAATCAAGACAACCAGGTGAAGAGATTAGAAGTGTCACAAAGGATGAAACTTCTGGGGAATTGATTTGGGAAAGAGAAGGAAGATTCATATTCAATGATATCATTAGAGCCACAGACAACTTCAATGAGGAGCACTGTATTGGAAAAGGAGGATATGGATCTGTTTACAAAGCAGTGCTTTCAACAGGTCAAATAGTAGCTGTTAAGAGGCTAAATATGTCAGATTCAAGTGACATTCCAGCAATAAATCAACAAAGTTTTGAGAATGAAATCCGTACATTAACAGAAGCTCGGCACCGGAATATAGTTAAGCTGTATGGATTCTGTTCTAGGAAGGGAATCATGTATTTGGTGTATGAGTATGTAGAGAGAGGTAGTCTGGGAAAGGTTTTGTATGGGAAAGAAGGGGGGAGTGAATTGGACTGGGTGGCAAGGGTGAAAATTATCCAAGGGCTTGCCCATGCAATTGCTTATTTGCACCATGATTGTTCTCCTCCTATTGTGCATCGGGACATATCTGTGAATAATGTTTTGCTTGAGTCAGGCTTTGAAACTCGACTTTCAGACTTTGGAACAGCTAGATTATTGAGCTCTGATTTATCCAATTGGACTACAGTTGCTGGGTCTTATGGTTACATGGCTCCAGGTATGCTATATTTTGTATCCATTTGTTTTTTTATTCATTTCATTATTCTTACCTGTACGAATTGATGTCTCCTGGTTTAGGATAAGAGATCATCTAATGGTTTAGTAACACTGGAATTAGGGATGAGGACATAGGCAACTGTTCTTTACAGAGCTAACTGTTTCTATTTGGATTCTGGATCATCTTCAATGTGCTCAAGAGATGATTATCCCAATGGACCCAATGTATGACAACACTCATTCATCTACTGTTTTCTGCCTTGTACCTTGCAGGCAAACATGCTTGATTATTCAAATTTTATAAAACAGTGAACCTGTTTTCAGTACTGAATGTCTCTTGGGCAACTGTCATTTACTGTGCTAACTGCTTCTGATTGTATTGTGTATCATGTGCTCAATAGATGATTCTTCCATGTTTCAATGGGTTTGACTTGACCAAAGTAGACCAGGCATGCACATAGTTTACTAATTCATATTGGCAAAACCCTACTCAGCTTCATTAGGTCCACCATTAAGCATCTTTTCGATAGTCTGGGCCTTGTACATGATGTATCTTGCTATGTTGGTACAAGTGTTTGGATCAAGTAAATGAAATATGCACGCAAGATATGGACCTGATCCAGACAATCCTCTGTTGGACTAGAAAACATCAGCTGACTAATGTTTTAAGCACTTAGCAGAAGTGACTCGTATTGATAAGTTGGCTACAGGATTCTTCTTTTGAGCTTAAGTTAGAAATCCTTTTATATTATTAGAGGCTTCTGACTTTCTGACTTTGGTCAGAAGCCTCTAATAATATAAAAGGATTTCTAACTTAAGCTCAAAAGAATTATTTGTTAAATATTCTGCGTCAATAATAGTATTATTATTTCTAACCTACTGCCTAGCTTTTCAAAACTTTGGTCAGATAACCTCAACCTGGTCTGACCTGTGTCCTCCCTAACTAATGATTTTTAGCTCTGTATTGGATGCTCAGCACCTTTCTTTTTGGTCTGACTTTTGGTGCATCATGTGGTGGATAAATATAACAATCTCACCATAAACCATACCATAAATATCTAAGTTCCATTTTTCTGTTTAAAAATGAAACCTTAATAAGTTCTCTCTTTTGAATTGCAGAGCTTGCATTTACAATGAAGATCACTGAAAAATGTGATGTTTATAGCTTTGGAGTGGTGTCTTTGGAAGTTATGATGGGAAGACACCCTGGAGAGCTCATTTCTTCGCTGTCATCACCATCAATCAGTAGTGATTGTGACTTGTTGTTGAAGGATGTTGTAGACCAAAGACTTCCACCACCCACAGGTCAATTGGCAGAGAAGGTGGTGTTTGTAATTAACATGGCGCTGGCATGCACACATGCCAATCCTGAGTCACGCCCTACAATGTGTTTTGTTGCACAGGAACTGTCAGCTCGCACCCATGCATATCTATCAGAGCCACTTTGAACAATTACAATGAGCAAACTAATAGGCTATCACAAATAGATCATGTTAGGTAACTGTATTGATTTTTTCCAGTAGAGTCCATGTCCCTTGGATGAATGTATGGAGGAACAGTATTGTATCAATGAATAACCTCATTTTAAATATTTTCTGTTATCTGAGGTGTCTTATCAGGCATATTTCTGAACCATGGGACCACTGCATCCTGATTATCATAGATGACAAAATTTCTATGCATATCACTAACAACAAATCAAGTTGTAATGAAGTTTTCTTCTTTTCAATCACCTCATTAGAGCAAGGAAAACTTAAGATGCTACCAATGCCATGCCTATCCATGTAACAATGTCTGTCATTAACTTGTCTAAGGGGATATTGTGCAATTCTTACTGGGGTGATATAATGGTCCCGGAAAGCTCTTGGTGGCTGCAGATTATTAAAAAGTAAAAGGTTACTGAGAAAGGAATATAAAGGCTAGATATGCCAAACCTGAGAAATTGGAATTTGGAACTTGTCCAAGATGAATTGGATGATCCACTAACTGGAAATCAATCTAAAGATGTCTTCACACTGGATTTCCAGCTCAACTCTCTACCCCCAATCTTGTATTGTGAGATGTGTAGCTGCAATGTATTGTGGGCAGAGAGTTATGGGCAGGAAATCCGGATTGTCTAGTATTCCTTGTGAAAACTCTTTAATGGGTTTTAGGAGATGATATAGACCTTAAAATCTATCAGGTCATGGACAGTCAAGGAATTCAAGTTTGGATTAAATTGGCTAGGCTTCTGAAATCACTGATGGACTATTAAACTCAGGTATGAAGACCACATGTTGGATGATGAACTTGTCTGGAAGGAAACTTCAGGATAGTTTGATGTAAAATGTGCTCTACAGGTTTTCTGGCAAAGAGTTAATTTGTTAATAGGTTTCAACATAAATATTTGTTAGATGAGATGACAAATTTACAATCATCAAGACCTGGAGTTTCCTTCCAAGTATACATGTACGCCCACAGTCTTGATATTCCACTCCCATTGACTTAATAGTTGTTATAGACTTGGAACAAAACAGAACAGAGATCATTTATTCAGTGCAGGTGACTTTGATAGAGAAGGTAAAAACGTATTAGCTAGCATTGTCTTAAATGCTTCCTCTGTCTCTAATGAGCTCCATATATGATTTATGCATGCTTTGGTTTCAGAAAGCGACATAGGAAAATTATTTAACCTGTTATTGGGCATTACTCCAGCAACTGTAATGCAGCGTTTATTGAATGAATTAAGTTCTCTCAAGTATAAAGAGGCCTGGCGTCATGATGTATCTGTAACTAAGAAGATATGAAGCAGGTTGGAAGAAGTAGGGAATTTCTTCTATAAACAAATAGAATAACAGAGAGATGGAAAAATGACTCAGTCAAATTGTGACTAGTCTCTCATGTATTTAAATAGATGGTTGTTACAAAGAGATTGCTATGTACAGTGTTAGAGTTCAAAAAGGAAACTAGTTACAAGATATGATAATGTTAGGTAAGAGATTGGGTTGGGTTGGTTTATCTAAGATAATTATAACCCTGTACATAATCTGCCAAATCAGTTATATATATGTGGGTAACTGAGATTTCTCTAACATCCCCCCTCAAGCTTAGCGGTCTCTTAGAGATGGTAAGCTTGACTGTGAGCTCATGAAATCTGGTTGAGGGAAGAGGTTTTGTAAGAACATCAGCAATCTGATTGTGACTAGATACATTACTGACAATGAGAGACCCAGCTGCAACCTCCTCTCATATAAAATGAAGATCTAACTCAGTGTGTTTAGTTCGAGCATGGTGAACAGGATTGGATGAGAGAAACTTGGCTCCCAAATTGTCACACCAGATTACTGGAGGTCGAGGAAGCTTCAAACCAAGCTCTCGTAGCAGCATCTGGAGCCAAATAATTTCAGCGACAGTGGAGGCAAGGATATGGTACTTTGATTCCGTGCTGGAGTGAGTAACCGTGGACTGCTTACGAGAGCTCCATGAAATTAGATTACAGCCCAAATAAACACAAAACCCTCCTTTGGAGCAGAAATCAACTGGGCAACTAGCCTAATCAACATCTGAAAAGGCCTCTAGATCCAATTCATTAGAGAAACAAAAAAGAATTCCATGATCAATGGTGGACTTCAGATAATAAAGGATCTGCTTAACAGAATTCCAATGAACATCAGTAAGTTACTTCATAAATTGGCAAACTTTATTAACAAAGAAACTATTGTCTGACTGAGTGAGAGTAATATACTATAATGCCCCTACCACACTACGACATTCAGTGGCATCAGAGAGAGATGAACCTTGAGTGATGTCAAGACGGGTAGAAGCAGACGTAGGTGTATAAACAGGTTTAGCTTCATGCGTCTTGGTCTTAAGGGGAAGATCATGAATATATTTTTGTTGTGAAAGATGCACACCATCTGCAGTATGGTGGAGCTCCAATCCTAAGTAATGGACAACTCTAAGGTTGCAGATAGCAAATGTGGTAGAGAGCTATGAGATGAGAGTACTAATGGTAGAAGTAGAAGATCTAGAAAGGAGTGTATCATCGACATATACAATAAGAAGAATGACATTAGTACCACACTAACGGAWWAATAGAGAACTATCTGCCCAAGATTCAACAAATCCAAGATGAACCAAATGATCTTGTAGTCAGGTAAACCAGGCCCTTGGGGCTTGTTTTAGATCATAAAGAGAATGCTTAAGGCAGCATACAAAATGTGGTCATGTGGGATCAATAAAACCCATGGGTTGTTTCGTAAAAACTTCTTCATTGAGGTTGCCATGTAGGAAAGCATTACTTACACCGAGTTGCCTAAGGGCCCAACCATAGTGAACCGCAAGAAAGAGTAGGGGTGCAAATGGATCGGATCATGATCCGATTTGATCAGAGATCCAATCCTATTTGTTCAAATTCTGATCACCCCTATTCGGATCTTCGGATCGGATTTGGATCACCCCTATCTGATCCAAGAAGATCCAATCCGATATATATTATATATATTATATATTTATAAATATATTTTTTATATTATATTTTTATAAATTTCTTATATTATTTATTTTCTTATAAAAAAACATGTATATATATGATGAAAATAATTAAAAAATAGTTGTATTTTTTGTTTTTACTTTATTGAAATTAGTATATTTTATTTTTGTTTGAATAATTTATTAATTTTTAAAGAAAACAAGTCAGATTAGATTAGATCCAAAGATCCAACTTACCGATAGGATTCGATTCAAATTGAGTCCTATCAAATGCAGCCGGATTGGATCCGACATGAACTATGTCAAATCAGATTCAAATATACCTTGATTTGAATTCGATCCGATTCATTTGCATCCCTAAGAGAGAGTACTAACCGGATAGTGGTAGGTTTAACAACTGGAGTGAATGTTTCAGCAAAATCAACACCAGCTTGTTGTGTAACCCCCTGAGCCATCAAGTATGCTTTGTAGCGCTCAACTGTCCCATCTAGACATCTCTTTATTTTATAAACACAACGATTGCCCACAATATTATTTTGAGGAGATCGAGGTACTAGATCCCATGTATCAGTGTTCAAGAGAGCTTTATATCCCTCCTCTATGACATGAACCTATCAAGGATCTTTTTTAGCAACATTGTAACAAGTAGGTTTGATGTCGAAACCAGCAGAGGGTTCCAAGGCATACCATGGATTGGGTTTTTGAATGCCGCTTTTATGCTGTATCATCATGGGATGAGTATTAAGAGATGGTGCAACCAAGCAAAGTGGTGTATTTGATGGAGGTGAGGGCAAGGCAATTGGCTTAGTAGAAGTAGAAATGACATTAGTTGGGATAGCACAAACATTTTCAATAGTAGAGGTGGCTCCATTAGAGTCTGAGATGTGTTCAGAAGAAGAAAATGGAAATTTAACAATTGGTGGACCAACTGGAGGGCTAGCAACTGAGCTAGGAAAAGAAGAGGAACTACATGAAGCACATGGGAATGTATTCTCATCAAAAACCACATTCTGAGAAATGTAGAGACTTCCAAAAGATAAATCCGAACATTTAAACCCTTTGTGATGCGAACTATAACCCAAGAATAAGTAGCATTTTGAGTGACAATCCAATTTAGATTGATTATAGGGTTGGAGATGTGGGTAGCAAGCACATCCAAATGTATGTAACATACTATAATCTGGTTCTTTTCCAAAAATACATTCAAATGGAGACTTCATGTGCACTATCGGTGTGGAGAGACAATTGATTAAAATGTAGCAGTCTCAAAAGCATCATACCAATAATGTTTAAAGATCGAAGTTGTGTCTAAGAGAGTCAGACCCATCTCAACAATATAACGGTGACGCGATGTTCAATTGCCCCATTTTGCTCATGAATATGAGGGTAGGAGAGGCGATGAGTGATGCATGAAGTAGAGAGAATGAGTAACAAAGGCTTGTACTCTGTATCACCATCTATTTGTAGCATTTTGATAGTGGTATTCAATAAATTCTCCACATTGCGCTTAAACATCAAAATTAGAAGCAACTTGAGATTTAGAAGCCATAGGAAAAATCCATATAAATTTGTTGAAGGCATCAACAAAAATAAAATAATAACAATAGCCATGTCTTGTAGAAATTGGGACTGGTTCCCATACATCAAAAAATATTAATTCTAATGGACACTTGGCAACAAAACTTGTAGCAGAAAGCGACAAGGTATGACTCTTGCCTAGTACACATGATGGACAAAAAATAGAAGTCCTTATTCAAAATTGGAAGCTGAAACAAAGATAGAATATGAACTACAAATTTCTTGCCGGGATGTCCTAACCTTTGATGCCATACTAAAGTAGAAACTCTCTCATCAATGAATGCTGATGGAGTTGTAGTTGTGCTATTGGCCTTGAGCTAGGAGAGCCCTTCTTTAATCAACCCTTGAAAGAGAATTTTCCCCATTGCATTGTCCTTAACATAAAAGCCAATATAGTAAAATGTAAAAGTTGCATTATTATCCTTACAAAACTGGTTGATAGAGAGCAAATTCTTAGAAATATTAGGAACTTTGAGAATATTATTCAAAGTAAGAGCTTGAATTAGTATGCAATATAGAAGAACCAATGTGAGATATTGCTAG